ACTCCCAGCAGCGGGCCGGTGCCCGCTTCAGGAGCAGCTCATTTGCTTGCTCCCTCGCTGAGCTGGTGGACTGCGGGCTGCCGGCTGCTTGGGTTCGAGATGCAGCGCCGGTGGTGGGTGGTCCCCACGCGTTCCCCACGCGTTCCCGTGTGCTCGCCTCTGCAGGCCTGCCCTCGGCCCCCTTGCTGCCCCGAGCTTTTGAGGTCCCTGTCTCTGTTTGGTGAGTGCAGGAACCACCCAGGTAATGGCCCATGCCTGTCTGCGGGGCCCCAAATTCCTGGGTGTCTCCCTGCACTCCCTGCAGGCACCCCACTTTCCACAGGGCCAAACGCTGCTGCCTCTTTATTAAAAATGGTGCTCCTTCTAGGTTTTTTTCATCTCTCACCTGCCCTTCATGCAAATTTCAGTCCACACAGCTGCCTCCTACTTATTTTCTTGTCATTGTGTCCATTGCTGGGTTTTTTGGCGGTTCCAGGGCTCAGACCCAAATCCTCCCTGTGCCAGGCAAGCGTTGCACGCCTGAGCTGCAGCGTCAGCCCTCCCTCCCTTGCTGTGCTCTGAACTCTGAGCATGGGTCGCCTGGTGCTTGAACCTTGGCTACTCCTGTCCCCCAGCCCTCCCATTCCTCTTGAGAGTCCCCGTGTGTGTAGTCGAGTTACTATCCTGCCCCAAGCTTTTCAGTTTCTCTGGTATTTATAGAGTGCAGTTTATTTTATTTTATTTTATTTTGGTCTTTTTGAGACAGGGTCTCGCTATACAGTTAAGGCTGCCTTGAGCTCACTTTGTAGCCCAGGCTGGCCTCAACTCACAATGATCCTCCTGCCTCAGTCTCTCAAGTGCTGGGATTACAGGCGTGCGCCACCATGCCCTGCTTTTTAGAGTGCGGTTTAAACCCTTCCTGCACAGACATGCACAGCGCTATGCACCGCCTTCCTGCCCCCTCATCCTGCTATTTCCAGCTCATAAGTTAAGTCTCAGAAATATATAAGTACTTCAAGGTTCTTTTTGGCCTTTTTAATATTTTTAAGATTGTAAAATAATAAAATTTATACTTAAGGTAGTATAAACATACAAGAATAGCTCATCTTAACAAGGTATAACCAGTCTTTCTTTCTCTTTCTTTTTCTAATCTATTCTGTTTTATTTTATGATATTTTATGTTATTTTATTTTATTTTATTGTTGTCTTTTTGAGACAGGGTCTCACTATGCAGTTCAGGCTGACCTTGAGCTCACTTTATAGCCCAGACTGGTCTTGAACTTGCAACAATCCTCCTGCCTCTGCCTCCAGAATGCTGGGATTACAGGCACACGCCACTGCACCCAGCTTCTTTTTTATTTTAAAGAGAAAAAAAAAAAAATTGAAAACAACATAATGGGAGGATAACTAAGGTTAATACATTGCATATTATTCTTTAAATTAGTTATTTAGAGTACAAGATATAGGCATTTAGTTGTCCAAAGAATATTAGTACAAACCTTTCTTTTCCCACACATACTGTCCATCTGTCACTACAGTTCTTCTCAGGGCTCCATGGCTTTGCTGTGCAGATCTTGGCGAGGAAGTGTCTTCTTGCCTGCACTCTCTGTGCCTTCAATTCTAGCTGAAATCTTGGTCTCCGTGAAGCCTCTGAAGTTGGGTGGACAGATTTCAGTGTCTCTAGTGCATTGTGTGCTGTCTTCTCTCCCAAGCCGTCGCGTCTTTCTGTAATGATCTGTATTTTTGTCTGTGAACTGAACTGGAAGTTCCTCGAAGCAGCACTATTTGTATTTCCAGCCGTGGCACGAGCCGGATATAACTGTCCCAGGAAGGACCTCGGGGGGTGGAGCCGGGAGAGCCCAAGGGGGCCGTGTGCACTGAGAAGGGGACCCGCGGTGGGGCATCCGACGCGGCCGTGCCTGAGCCATGCTGAGTTCTGTCATCCAAGTTTTGAGCGTGGGACTCTGCGAGTGTCCCTGTAGCCCTCACACGCAGGGAGTGACCCAGTGCCTTCAAAGACTGTCAGGTTCCTGCGGGGCTGTGGCTGCTCGTAGTGCTTCTTTATTTTATTTATTTATTTATTTATTTATTTATTTTTGGTCTTTTTGAGACAGGGTCTTGCTGTGCAGTTCAGGCTGGCCTTGACCTCACTTTGTAGTCCAGGCTGGTTTCGAACTTGGAACAATCTTCCTGCCTCAGCCTCCTGAGTGCTGGGATTACAGGTGTGCGCCACCACGCCTGGCTTATGCTTCTTTATTTTTTATATGTTTTACTTGTAATTTTTATCGTACACATTTGTGGCACAGAGTGATCCCAGTCGTGGGGAGTTGGTGCCTGTACACGACACAGCTTAGTTCTTTCTCCTTCCCCTTCCTCAGCCCTCTCCTCCTCTCCAGTCTCTCTATTCCCTCGTTTTTCTTAGTCACTGCGCTTTTCAGTGCGGGCCCCGTCTCCCCAAGCCGGCCTTTCACAGACCCACCGGCCGGGCTGCGCCTCTGCTTTACCGCCAGCGCCCAGGCTCCTCGCCGCGTGTGGCTCCTGCAGAGAGCGGACTTCTGTCCTTGCTCTCTCAGCTGCTGTCCACACTGCAGCCTTGTTCTGCGGGCCTCTGGGCTTGGAGCCCTTCCAGAGGCCCGAGCGTTTCCGATGTCTTTGTTTGGCTTGTGAAAGTTTACAGAGGGAAAAGGACAGTGGCATTTGGAGTAATATTTTAAAGCGACAGAACCACAGAATATTAGGAAACATTTTTTGTTGCCTGGTGGTTTTTATCTCAGTGAGATTCTCTGAATTGTATGGTATTTTGCAAGCTTTCTTAAAGCAGTGCAGTGGTCATTAAAGTGGCCCGAAGAAATACGTAGCAGTCAGTCCTTATATGGCACAAATATTTGTTCTGCTCACCCGGTGTGGAAACCGCCCAGATGTGCGCTGGTCCCAGGGATGCGTCTCCTCAGGCGGCTGCTTGCTCTGCCTGATTGGGGTCAGAGCTTGGGTGCTGTGGATGAGAGAGATGGTTTATAACCCACGGTCGACTCCGAATTCCACCTTTTAGGCAGGATCTCACGTGCCCACCCTCTGCGGGGCCTCCGGAAGGAGTCACAGTGATCTGTAAGGGTCTGCACACGCCTGCCTAGCAGAGCCTGCTGGCCTCAGCCCCCTGCCAAGTGGCTTCTTGTCTGTGGGCAGCCGAGGGCGCAGGGCAGTGCGCGGACCCTGGTGCCCGTGCTCTGCAGGGCGAGCCCTCCGACAAGGAGGCTCTGAGGGAAACAGTTGCTCTGTGTGCAACTCCCTGAACTTTTTCTTAGGAGAGGAAATTTCCCAAGGGAAAAATCCACATAGTTACGCTGAGATAATTGTTTTCCTCAAGAACGCAAAAAGGACAGTATAACAATTTAAAAGACAAACACAAACCTCACTGTCATAGCACTGTCTCTGCTGTGTCCCTCTCCTTACTTTATATGTTTATGAACTGTTAAGAGGCGTTCCTCTCATGTTAAAGTACCCTTTACTTCCAGAATCATCCGATCGGTGTTTTAACTTTGCTGCATTTTGTTATTTTTCTGACTAGTAGTCTAAAGTTGATGCAGTTAGATTTCCCTGTTATCCCACAGTGTAGGATGTTTGCCTTTCTGCCTACTAGAAATATGTGAGGGAACCATTCTAAAATATGGGTGGATGTACATCACCTTTTATATTTTCATTATTTTCTCTTACAGTTTTAGTCACTCATTTGTCTGAGGATAAATGCCCAGTAGTTGAATTGCAAAGTTAGAGAAAATTTCTTTTAATGTCTTTTTTCATGATGTTGCTACACTGTTTCCCCAAAATTTATCCCAATTGACAGAGCTACCAATTGGCTTCTCCCAGCAGAGAGTTTCTCTCCGTTTGTCGGGTTAAAATACCTTCCCCCATCGCTAGTTTACCTCATATTGTTATAGTACATTGTTTGATAACTTGTGCAGCTACATTTTTTGATACATATTTGCTTTTTCACATTCCTTTTTATTTTTAAAATTTTTTATTTTATGGAAAAAAAGTAAAACAGTTTCCTCACAACTTTTTCATATTCTTGTGGGAGGGAGCGGCACTCCCAGTGCTACCACGGGCAGGAACTAGTTAAGAAGTAGCTCCAGCAGCTTGTGAGCAAGGCCATTTTGGAGCAGATCTGGTAATGTGTACATTGTGAAGCTCTCTGGAAACTTTGATTGAGAAAACAGTTGTATACCTAATGATTGGGCTAGCCTGTTGACTTTTTATTTTATTTTATTTTGGTGTGGGGAGTTGAACTCAGGACCTTGCGCTTGCCAGGTAGGCGCTGTGCCGCTGAGCTACATCCCTAGTCCATGGGGGCTAATCTGTTTAGAGTGTTACCTAATTTTATCTGTAGTAATTCTGGAAGATATTCAAGACTCACTCAAAGTATTAGGCTTTTTTTTGGGTCTACTTTCTAGATCTGGAAAGTGCGGAGAATTAACTGCATATTTTACTGATTCCATGTGTAGCTGATTTTCTTAAAAAAAAGGAATAACAGGAGATCGGATAAAGCAAACACATTTGAAGGGTCCTAAGCAGTGGGAAAATTGGGTGGGAAGAGTTTTGAAGAGTTCGCTGAAGCAGACATGCAGCGTTGGGGTGGCAGGTGTCTCCATGCACTGGTGGAGTTGCTTAGAGCTACTGGAAGTCATGATGATCACAGTCCCAGGGGCCAGCGAACCTCCCTGGCTTTGTGGTGTCAGGGGACACTTGATACTAGCGTTCTTTCATTGAGCGCATTTAACTGATGACTTTTAGCATTAGGTAAATGTTGAGACACTCAATCTGGAGAACAGCACGAATGGATTTGAAGGATCTAGGGTAGCAGTTACTCAGCGGTGTGGGAGAAAGGAGAGGTAATGGGGGTTGGGGGGAGAGGCGGCAGTGAGGGTGCGGTGAGGGCTGGGGCAGCAGGCTGAGAGCGTGGCACATTTGACATTTAAAGGCATTTTTAACTTCCTCATTGTAATGATACACATTTTATATTTCAGATGAATTTGCAGCTGGTTTTCTGGATTGGACTGCTCGGTGCAGTTTGCTGTGTGTTTGGCCAAACAGGTAAACAAAGAAAAGCAGTTTTCCTAGTTATCTTTTGTTCTAGAGTCTCTCACCGTTCTGTGATCAGTTAGGAGCTCAGGAAGGCCCAAGTCAGCTCTTGTGCCTCCGGGAGCCTGATCAGAGAGCAAGGTCTTTGTAGGGACTGTGACCCTGCCAGGGGATGCTGACGGCGAGTGACCAGCGGGTGCTGGCATGGCAGGGAGAGGACAGCTCTGCCAGTCAGAGGCTGTTAAGTGAGCGGGGGTGGGGGGGTGGGGGAGAGGGTTGCTGAAAAGGCAAGTAACGCATTTAGAAGGGAGTAAGTAGAGTCAGTGTGTGGGATGGCGGGCTTGTAACTGTCTGTTACTTATGAAAAGAGAAGTCTTTTTGGCATCATCTAGAAAAGCAGTGAAAAAGTTTAAGGTCTGTTTAATCTTTCTGTGAACCATGTTTTAGCGACATTCGGAATAACGAATAGACAGTTTTTCTCTCCAAATCTCAACTATTTGTTCTTAGTAAGGGAAAGACTTACTACGTGTATAGAGGACAGAAAAAACTTAATGAGACTATTGATATATTCGAATTACAAAAAAGTAACAACCTAATATCTGTATGTCAGAACTCCATAGACGAGAGGCTAAAAAGGTTTAATCTCTTTCATATATGTGAAATTTAATGAGAACTGATGAACCTGACAATAGAAAACCTGTACAAGACCTAAGAAAAAAATTTAAAAAGAAATGGCAGTAAAATGTGAAAAAATGTGAAATGCTAAGTCACTGAGAGTTGGGTTAATATTCTAATTTATACCTGTTAAATGAATAAAATCTTTTTCTATTAAGGGCTTGATGTTACTGTATCCTTCAATGTGGTATTTTTTTTTTTTTGGAATTTTTAAAAAGGAAATAATTAGACGTGTACTAAGGTTCATATATAAGGAGTCAGCAGAATGTGTGTGTCCACGTGCAAGTTGTGTGTGTGAGGGATGTGTGTGCGCATGGGGTGTTGGTGTGTCTTGGGTGTTGGTGTGCGTGTTGTGTGTGCGTGTGTGGGGTGTGTGTGCATGTGAGCAGGTGTGTGTGAACTGTATGAAGGCAACTGGAAGCAATCTAAATCTGTCCAGCATTAAATAGGGTACAGTTGTGTAACTAAATACAATATAATCATTAAAAGTCATATTATGGAAGAATCTGTAATGTTGTGGATAAAATGCTTAAAGTTTACACTTGATCTTAGCCAAAAAGCCGAGAAGTGATAAAAATGCTTAAAGTTTAAAAAGCAGTATCCAGAACTGCATATATAAAATACATCCTCAATTTCATTTAAATAATAGCATGTATATATGCTTGCTTCTTTTCTATTTCTTGGTCTCTCTATAAAAAGACTGGAAGTATACAAAAACATTAACAGTGGTTATTTTGGTGAACAGATCGTGGGTGATTTTCAGTTTGCTTGTTACGTTCTTCTGTGTTTTCTAAGTCATCTTCATAAAACATTAGCTAGGTTTATAATCACAAAAGGTACACTGAAGGCTGGGCGTGGTTGTGCATACCTGTAGTCCTGGCACTCGAGAGGCCAAGGTGGGAGAGTTGCTATGACTTTGAGGCCAGCCTAGGCCAGATAATTCAAGTCCAGCCTGAACTGCACAGTGTCTCACCAAAAAAAGTTCAAAAAAGATATGTTAGAGATAGTCCTTAACATGTTCCACATGAAAGGCATGTTAGACCGTAGGTGGACTGAAATTTAAGGCATATTTTGAAAACAGAATCTAAAAGCTCACGGGATAATGGATTGGATGGTTATGGACTGCGTGGCTTTTTCAGTTATTTAATATATTGAAAACGAAAGCCCCAAAGATGCTTCTGGGATGTGTATGTGCTACTGTGTGTCATGTGGAAAGAAATAACACCTTACGTACTCGTAAGCAAATTCATGACATTTATAGCCATTTAGAATGGTAGATTCTGAATTATGCCTTGTAAATAAATGAGAAATGTATAAGGAGATGAACAGTACCTAGTCTTTGATGGAAAAGACAAGGAAGGTAACTCTGTCCTTCCATGGCTTTCATTGGCAGGGGATCAAAACTCACTGTCTTGGGGGCAGGCCTAGTTCACCTTGGGAACTAGGTCACGATGTTCATATTTAGCATTTCTTGGGGCCAGAGATATAGCTCAGTGGCACAAGTGCTTGCTTGGCAGTGCAAGGTCCTGAGAACCAAAAAAAAAAAAAGAAACCCTAAAGAAACCAAAAAACATTTCTATATACATCGCATAATTTGTCATTAGAATCCTGATTTTTCATTGACTTCTTCTCTGAAACTTTACTTAAATAGGTCTATTATTTTCTTTTCTTGACAGATAAAAACAGGTGTCTGAAAGCCAATGCCAAATCATGCGGAGAATGTATCCAGGCAGGGCCCAACTGCGGGTGGTGCACCAATTTGGTAAGTAAGGTTGCTCTGGCCTGCCCATGTCCTTTGTTTTTGTTTTTTTTGCTGCCTGTGTGCTTTGGAAATACCAGATGGGACTTCTGAAGTCAGCAGGTGTGAATATTGTGGAGCATCCAGGACTGTGCTGTCACAGTAGCCGCTAGGCGTGTGTCTTGGTTACTTTTCTCTTCTTGCCGAGACAAACTACACAATGCCCAAAATTAAGGAAGCAAAGATTTATGTAGCTCACAGTTTGTGGAGGTTTCAGTCTGTGTTCGACTGGCTTCAAGGCAGGGCGGCATGGCAGCATGGCAGCATGGCACAGGGCAACTGCCCCTGTGTCTTCAAGGTGGCAGAGGACAGGAACAGCAGCAAGAGCAGAAAGGGAGGGGCAGAGAGAGCAAGCCTCTTTCCCTCAGGTATGTTGTATGCAGGCTATCCACCCACACCATCTGGGAGCTCTCCTCTTCCACAGGCTCAGGATGCTTAGGGAGTAAGGCCCCTGGCCCCCTGCTGAGTCTCTTACTTAAACTTCTGAACTTCTCTAGTTGACACAATGTATCAAGCATTACAGCAGCCTTACCAGAAGGTCTAAGCCATACTAGCAGCTCTCAGTGGCTCCACCCCTGTTACAGTTGGTTTTCTGTAGAGGCTTTTCCTCAACAGAATGTTTTAAAAATAAGTTAGCCTTTCACCTTCTGGCATAATTCTTTAATTGCTGAAGATGTGTTTGGAGCATATGTAATGAAATTTTATTTGGGTGTTAAAAGTAAGTTTCTTAGGTTGGCTGGTATTTAGAAAAGTATAATCCACCAGGATCTTGTGCTTTGGTAGACATTTAGGTTTGATAATAAACAAAAGCAGTGCAGTTTTTTTGAACCACCTGGCCTTTGGTATTTCCTTCCAGTAGTTTCTGTCACTTCATAAATGTGTTTGTTACCATTATGTTTGCCTAAAAACTTACAAAAACATTGTTTATTCTCTAAATACCCTCATTTACTATTAAGTTATATAGTACCGTGAATGAACGAATACCATATGACGTCATTTTTTCCCTTACTTTTACATTTCATGAAATATTTTACCTAAAATCTTCATATCTAGCATGACAGTGTTTCTGTCTTCACTAAGGTAATTTTCACGCAGATGAAACCCTTATTTCTGACAGCATTGTTTGAGGCATAGCATATTTTGAGTTTATGTCATTTTTGGAAATTTCATCCCAAGCCATAAATTTCCACTCATATATAATTAGTATATTGTTTCTAAATTTACCATATGGAAATATATTCATGACCCTTGTCATATATCATGTATTATATTGCCTTTCTTTGTCTTTTTGAGACAGGGTTTCGCTATGCAGTTCAGGCTGGCCTTGAATTCACTTTGTAGCCCAGGTTGGCCTCAAACTCACAGTAATTCTCCTGCCTCAGCTTCCCAGTTGCTGGGATTACAGGTGTGCACCACCATACCTAGCGGTCAGCATTTAAATTTTTTTAAACTTTTAGGAATACCTATTAAATTGGTGCTAGATTTTCTTGTCTCCTTTTTTAAAAAGACCACCATTAATTCAAATTTGTTTTGGCTAATATGTTTTCCCTAAATAGTGGATGGTTCAGTGTAGTATACTGGGGATTTGCCAGGCATGCTGGCGGCACACACCTGTGACTCCAGCACTCTGAGAGGCTGAGACAGGATGGTCAGAGATTTGAGCTCAGCCTGGGCAATTCAGGGACTTGGCAAGACCCTGCTGCAAAAGACAAAAAGGATTAGGGACATGTGAAGGCTCTGGGTTCAGTCCCCAGTAACACACACACACTCAACTGTAAGGATTTATCTAAGAGAATTTTAAAAAGTACTGTCTGATAATCTAGTTTATACAATATCAGGAGCTGCTAACTATGCTGAATAAGTGGTTTCATTGAAGAAATGTACTTATTTGAATGTGTGAAGTTTAAAATGTATATGTAGGCCAGTCCTGGGAAAGTCACTACTTCTTAAAATGGGCTTTGTTTTTGTACAAGAAGGCTTGCTATGGTTTGGTGAAGGGAACGTTTTGCTAAAAGCGAGAAATGAAGTACATTAAGTGTGCAGTTATGTTTAAAAAAAGTATTCGATTGCTCCGTTTTTTATTTATGTCAGTATTTTGTGTATCACTTAGACATTTTTACAAGAAGGGATGCCTACTTCCGCACGATGTGACGATTTGGAAGCCTTAAAGAAGAAGGGCTGCCATCCAGACGACATAGAAAATCCCAGAGGCTCCAAAAGCATAAAGAAAAATAAAAATGTGACCGACAGGATCAAAGGAACACCGGGGAAGCTGAACCCGGAAGACATCACCCAGGTGCAGCCGCAGCAGCTGGTCCTGCAGCTGCGGTCAGGTGCGCAGGTCCCCTACGGTGCCTCCTTGTCCACGCAGGCTGTCTTGCTTTTCTGCCGCTCTGGCTGGGGCAGCTGGGGCTGGGGCTGGGGCTCAGGACCTGTGTCTTCTGGGCAAGCACTCTGCCACCCAGCTCTCTACTGGAGGTTGTTTAAAAAACTAAATTAACGTATATTTGTGATAAGTGGGGATTACATTTGGTTTGGGTTTGGCTCACAAACATGTTGCAGCTTGATCGTTTTTACCCACCTCCCTACCTTCCCTTCCTTGCCCTTCCCTAGATCTGTTTCTTAATGTGGCTCTCGCATTTTGCTCTTTATTTGTATTCTTCTTGTGGTCTTGACACCAACTCTAGGCAAGCCAGTTTTCACTTTCAGGGCTCTTTCTCACCTGTGGCCTGGCACTCAGAGATGGGGAATAGGCTAAGGTTTAGCATTTTCTTTTGCAGACATAAGTTTTGTTTCATTTTCTTAAGACAGGGTTTCTCTATGCAGTTTAGGCTGGGCTTGAACTTACTGTGTATCCCAGGTTGGCCTCGTACTCAGCGATTGTCCTGCCTCAGCCTCCCCAGTGTTGGGATTACAGGTGTTTGCCTCCGTGCTTGGCTTAGGCACAATGATTTGTAAAACATATTCTTTAAATTCTTTGAATAATATGTTCCCTAATTTCAGAAGCAAAATCTGTTAAAGATTCAGGAGGTATTAGTTAGACTCAGTGGAGTTTAAAAATAATAGTGCCCATGGTCTGCTATAACTTTATAAAAGCAATTTCCTTCCTTCCTTCCTTCCTTCGTTCCTTCCTTCCTTCCTTCCTTCCTTCCTTCCTTCCATTTTTCTTTTTAAGACAGGGTCTTACTATGTAGTTGAGACTGGCCTAGAACTCAGGCTGGTCTTGAACTCACATGTAGTCCAGGCTGGTCTTGAACTCACATTGATCCTCCTGCCTCAACCTCTTGAGTGCTGGGATTCCACGAGTACGTAACCACACCCAGCAAAAGCAACATTTTTTTTTTTTTAAAGTGAGCCAAAATTTTTATTCATTTGTTTCTTGCATGTGAAGTATTCTTCAATGACACCCTTGGCCTGAGATTCTTTGCCTTAGTCCCAAATGCAACATTTTAACCATTTAGTTTCCTTTGTAGTCATTTAATATTGTTGACAGTGTTCAGAGTTCTTCTAGGTCCCTGTGACAGTCCCATGTCTAGAAATGAACCCCCCAGCCCTGTCCTGTCTTTGCTTCCCGCCCTTTCTGGGGGGAAGAGTGGGAGCTCCTTGTCCCGTACCTCCTTCCTGTGCCTGCTGGCAGCCTCGGCTGCTGTCCCACTGTTGCCCTGGACATCCACGCCTGCAGGAGCCTGTCAAGGCTGTGTATTCATTTTATTATTCATTTAAACGTGCGTGTACCAGGCGATGCTTTGAATCCCTCGCCACGCCGTCCGCCTGGCCTGTGACGCGCTGCGATGCTCTCGTGTGCAGTGCCTTCCAGGCTCCTCCTTGTATCTTTCTTTCCTCTCCCTACACTACTCCCTGCAAAGGTTGGCTTTCTTTCGTGGCTTTAAAAACACTTCTGTGCTGCAACCGCCGGCATTCTTCTCTTGAGGTCTGCACCTGTCTGTCTGGCTGCCTGCTAGAAGTTCATAGAAAGACAGATTTACGCATTAAAAGTGAATGCTTTTTCCCCTAAACCTTCATTTTCTCCGTTTTTGGGGAGGTGAGGTGCTGGGGGGCAACCCAAGGCTGAGCACGGGTCAGGCAGGCCCTGTACCGCCGAGCTGCGTCCCCGGCCCCGTGCTTCCGGCCAGTCCACACACCATCTGTGTGTCTCTTCTCCGCTGGCCTCGTTGTTTCCGTGGACGGCTTCATCGTACTCCCCTTGGGTTTTTCCCGGAGTTTCTTTCTCTATAATTTATTTTGAGAGCTTCTGACAGGTTTTCTAAAATAAAGATGAGATTATTTCACTCACTTGCATTTAGTGGCATCCTATTACACAGGGAGCAGACTTATCACTCAGAACTTTAATCTCTAACATGTTCTTCGCGTTGCCCTTCAGGTCTAATTTATGGACTTTTGTTTGTTTTTCTCGTAGGTGTAAATGTGGGTTAGCTTTCTGCTACTGTAAGGACTACGGGAAATAATGACCTGACGATGGGGATGTACTGGGGCTCCCCGCTCTGGAGTGTTGCTGCATGGCTGGGTGGCCCTAGCCCTGTGGGCCTGTGGCGTGCTGGCCCTGCGACTGGGAGGCGGTGACACCGCAGTGTTCAGTTCACTTCTCGGTCTGCGTGCAGAGGAGAGAGGAAGCGATCAGGGGCCTAAAGCCCGCCCCCGGGGCCGCCGCCAGGGGCCAGGCCTTCAGTTAGGTCCCGTCTTGAAGTTCTCACCACCTCCCAGCAGGGTTTCACATGAGGGGCTTTGGGGGGAAACATTCCAGACCGAACTGTAACAGACGTGACTTCATCTGTTTTGTTCAGTGTGGGTTGGTGTCCTTCATCTTTGCCTCCTTACTACCTGATTTTTTAAGTATTTGTTGACTGAAACTGACTACGTGGGTGAATCGGGTTACTTGTACAATTCTTCAGGTTTCGTGAGAATTAGGTACTGAATGCATTTCATTTTACAGCGTTTGCCGTGCACATCAGATTTAGTTGGTTACTCTCGTTTGCTCAGTTTTACATTTGCTAATTTTCTTTCCTCTCACCTCTGTTTAATTAGGAGAGCCACAGACGTTTACATTAAAATTCAAGAGGGCTGAAGACTACCCCATCGATCTCTACTACCTTATGGACCTCTCCTACTCCATGAAAGATGATTTGGAGAATGTGAAGAGTCTTGGGACAGAGCTGATGTATGAGATGAAGAGGATCACTTCGGACTTCCGCATTGGTAGGCGTGTGAGGAGGATTGATAATCTCCGCGTGGCTAAGTCTTGCCGCTTCTCGAAGCCCTTTCATGGTCCCTCCTCTGTGCTTCGCAGTGGGTGTGTGCCATAGATAGGCCAGGTTCTAGTCTTTTCCTTCTGACTTCTCTCACCTGTGCGGTATCTTCCTCCTCGTCCTCATTCTTTGGACGTGGTGTGTTGCTGTGTAGCTTGACACCGATTGTGCCGGGTAGATGAAGAGATCCACGCTTGCTTTTCCAGGAATTTACTCTTTCATCTATTGGTTCATTTTAGAAATGTGTCAAGTACCCCAGATTCTCTTTCGTTACTAATTAGAACGACCCGCTTCTCGTACAACCTAATTCCGCTTCACATCCGTCTGTATGGGCGGCTGAGCCCCTCTTCTTCTGCTCTCTACTCCTGTTCCACCGGAGGTTTAACAGCAGAATACCGGAGCGACTCAGTGGCCTCTTTGAGGCCTAAATATTGCCTTTTAAAAATGAGCTCTGTTTTAAGTGGAAATACTTCTTTAAAAAATAGCACTTGCTAGAAATGCCTTTTTATTTAGCAAGCATAATTGATGATAGAAATTAAAAGCTTTTTGGGGGGGTTCTTTTTGAGACAGGGTCTCGCTATGCGCTTCAGGCTGGCCTTGAGCTCACTTTGTAGCCCAGGCTGGTCTCGAACTCACAATGATCCTCCTGCCTCAGCCTCCGGAGTGCTGGGATTACAGGCCTGTACCACCACGCGCAGTGAATGTGAATTATTTTTAAAGTAGGTAAGGTGGGCGTGGTGACGCACGCCTGTGATCCTAGCACTCAGGAGGATTGCTGTGAGTTTGAGGCCAGCCTGGGTTACAGAGTGAGTTTAAGACCAGCCTGAACTGCATAGCGAGACCCTGTCTCAAAAAGACAAAATAAAACAAAGTAGGTAGACCTACTTATTCTTAGTCTCTTTGGTCTGCTTTGAAACAACGCCATAAACTGGATAGCTTTATAAACAACAGAAAGTGATCTCGCACTCTTCCAGAGGCTGAAGTGTTCATGGTCAGGACAGGTTCGCATCTGCTGCGCACTGCCTTGTGGGTCCCAGGTGGTGCCAGAGCGATGTCCTCACACCGTGGAGGGTGGAGGGGAGACAGCCACTCCCTGGGCCTCTTTATGAGGTTGCCATTCCCAGAGCTCCTCCTTCATGTCTGACCACCCCGCAAGGGTCCCTTTCCAGTACCATCACTCTGGGGATTCGGTTTTCAAGGTGAGAACTTGGGGGAGGGGCACAGACGTTGCCTGTAGCAACTTACCCCTGAAAACAAAAAGGTTGACTTTGTCAAAAAATGGAAGTTTATCTTTCTGTCTTTATCTGTGTATTTGTCTGCCCATGTGTATGTTTCTTCTCAGGCTTTGGCTCGTTCGTGGAGAAAACGGTGATGCCTTACATTAGCACAACACCAGCAAAGCTCAGGAACCCTTGCACCAGCGAGCAGAACTGCACCAGTCCGTTCAGCTATAAAAACGTGCTCAGTCTTACCGACAAAGGAGAAGTGTTTAACGAGCTTGTTGGTAAACAGCGCATATCTGGGAACTTGGACTCCCCTGAAGGGGGTTTTGATGCGATCATGCAGGTGGCGGTTTGTGGAGTAAGTGCCCATTTCGTCCCGAAAAAGTGTGTTTTCCCATTATGTCCCTGTTAACCCGGGCAGGTAGCTCATTCGTACAGAGTTTTCAAAGCCATCAGAGGCAGTGGGGCGTGTGGTGGTGCTGTGACTGGCGTCCTGGGGCTTGGGAAGCGTCGCCCAGGTGTCCAGAAGTGGGTCTGACGTTACCTGAGGCATCACCGTCCGCCTTGCGAGTGGTCAGATGGAACAGTGCCTGGAATCCTTTCCCTTTAGTCGGGCTTCTTCTTCTCATTATGTTTTTGTCTGTTTTGAGACAGGGTTTCACTATGCAGTTCATGCTGGCCTTGAATTTACTGCATAGCCCAGGCTGCCCTCAAATTCACAATGATCTTCCTGCCTCAGCCTCCTGAGGGCTGGGATTACAGGCCAGGCATGCACCATCGTGCCCGGCTTTCTTCTGCCCATTTTCTTTCAGAGATAATCCTGTGTTTTAGTAATTCAAAAAGAAAGAACTTCTTAAGCCCTAGTTTGTAAGCTGTATGATAGCATATGTTTTGAGAAGGATTTGTAGCTTTACCTAAGCAAGATTTTCAATAATACCCATATTTTTACGACCCAGATACCAGTTGAGTGTTTTGTGGTGACCTGTTCATGATAGTAACTGAGGCTGAAAGTAGCAGAGCTTTTAATGATTTAACCGAGTCTGAGCTGCAGATAGAGTATGTCTGGAATACCTGTCCTTGTCTCATCTTTTTCTCCTTAGTAAGTGCTACCTGTTATCCAAGTTAGTCAGTGAAGCAATATAGTTGTTAGTGTAGTAGTTAGAATTTCCCCATGCCCCCGATCCTAGGGGCTTTCCTGAGCCTGTCTGGGGCCATTTTCTTCTCTCTTCAAAAGGACCGTGATAGTACGTAACTCATACGCGTATTGTGAGATTTCAGTACAGTTATCATATGAAGTACCAGCAAGCACTCAGCAAGTACGAACTGCTGTCTTGTTACTTTTTGACTTCTCTCTAGGGTATTTGCAACTTAATGTTAGTCCCAGCTTTTACTGCTGAAGAAATAGAGCTCCCTGGCAGTCTGGAGCTTGATATTTCGTTTTTCATCCTAGCCATTATTATTTTTTTTTGGTACCGGGAATTGAACTCAGGACCTTGCGCTTGTCAGGCAGGCGCTGTGCCACTGAGCTATCTCCCCCGCCTTCCTAGCCATCATTGTGATCGCTTTGGAGAGCATCCTCTGTGCTGCCTCTGTACCCATCCCTTAACTAGAGGGTGTATTCAGCACAGCACACACAGTCGTGGCCATCTCTGAGCTTTTAGTTCTCTTCCTCTAGACCCAAAAGAGACAGACATTCCCCTTTCGAAAGACTGTTAGCATCACTAAAGTTAATTCTCGCCTGAAAGGAATTTATCTTATGGTAGTTTTTTCTTACAAGCATATAAATGGACATTTTGAGTTCCTGTACATTTAGACAAATATAATTGTAAAGTAGAAGATTTTGCTGGTACATAAAATTCTTTGTTGAAGCCGGGTGTGATGGCCCACGCCTGTAAAATCCCAGCACTTGGGAGGCTGAGGCAGGCAGATTCTTGTGAGTTTGAGGCCAGCCTGGGCTGTAAAGTGACCTCAAGGCCAACCTGAACTGTATAGTGAGACCCTGTCTCAGAAAGACACACACACACGATCCTTCGTTGAATAGGGTGGAGGGTAAACTAACGGACAGTCTGCACCTATGGATGAGTCAGAATGGGTAGGATGAAGCAGGGCACGTCCTCGGGTAATTTTTTTCCTATAGTAGAAGAAGGTCTAAGGTGGAGGGCTGACAGGAAGCATATGGATAGAAGAAGAGCAGGGGTGGGTGGCAGTTTAGCAGGTGCCAGGAGGACACTTACTCAGCCAGTACTCATCAAGAGCCTCTAAAAGGTAACTGCTGGCTGCTGCAGAGTGAAATGAAAAACGGTTTTTAAAAAGAGCTTAGAGACACTGGTGACTTGGCAAGAAATAGCTGTGGGGCACAGGAGCTTCATTCCTTGGGCTCTCCAGATTTGTCAGCAAGATCATTAACGTGCAAAGAAAAGAGAAGATACACAATTAGATTAACCATGCAGTTGTAGCCTGCGCGGAAATCAAAGATTGTGCTGAATTACTGTCAGTAGCATTTTAAAACTGAAATACCTTTCTCTGCAAGTCACTGATTGGCTGGAGGAATGTCACGCGGCTGCTGGTGTTTTCTACCGACGCCGGGTTCCACTTCGCCGGAGACGGGAAACTCGGCGGCATTGTTTTGCCCAATGATGGCCAGTGTCACCTGGAGAACAACGTGTACACAATGAGCCATTATTACGTAAGTGCCCGAGTCCTCAGCTGGCCAGTGGTTCTGTGTTGGATTTCAGTGTTCAGTGAGTTTTGTGGGTGACTGGCTTGTGGGTATCCAGGCTTGGGGTCCCGTTGGTTGGTGAGTGTGCGTCCGCACCAGCGGTCAGCTCAGCTGCTCTCGCAGTTTGTGACGCTGCGGCTGTGTGCTTGCTTCCTGCCCTTGGACCAGGGCTTGCGGGGCTGGACACTACGGCCAGTCCATTCCTCACCTTGTTGCCCGTCTCCTTTGGCTTGTGTATTCCATTTAGTAGGAGAGTTGCTGTTATTTGTAGATGAATAATTCATCTATTTTTACATTCTTTTTTCTTTTTGATACTGGGAATCAAACTCAGGACCTTGTGCTTACCAGCCGCTGAGCTACATCCCCAGCCCTAACTTTACATTCTTATTTTGTCTTGTTTTATATGATTTTAAACATACCCTGCCTTGAATGAGAATAAAGACTGACAAATTACTCAAAGTCCTTGAAAACATCCAAATGTTGATAGATCTTAATCTTTTTCTTTTTTTTTTGTTTTTTTTTGAGACAGGATCACACTATGTAGTTCAGGCTGGCCTCAGTCTTCCTGCCTCAGCCTCCCAAGTGCTGGGATTATAGGCGTGTGCCATCATGCCCGCCTCCTTGCATCTTCTTCTTAAGTGGTAGATAATAGAACTTTTAATTACTTGCCGTGGTTTGGTTTCACTGTCCTTGTGTTTATTGTACATAGATTATCTTATTAGTTAAGATATTTTTAGTAGAGCAATTGTCAGACAGAAAGGTAGAGAAGATTAGAATCCACTGTGTAAAAAAAAAAGAAACTAACATACAAACACTACCCAACCCAGTAATCACTTACATTTTGGGCTTTCTTTTTTGAATACTGGGAATTGAACCTAGAACCTTGCACTTACTTGCCAGGCAGGTGCTGTTCCTGCTGAGCTATGTCCCCAGTCCTCATTTACATTTTATATTCTTGCTTGAAAGCACGGGAGGGTAAGTTATCCAGTTATGTATGCAAACATTTTCAAGAAGTATTGAAAAACTGAGACATAGGAAGGTGTGTTTATATACTGAACTATATTATTAATTTTTAGGATTATCCCTCTATTGCCCATCTTGTCCAGAAACTCAGTGAAAATAACATTCAGACGATTTTTGCCGTTACTGAAGAGTTTCAGCCTGTTTATAAGGTAAGGATGCGTGAAGTAAAAAGTTCTAACCCTTTTTGTTTTGTTTTGTTATTAGAGGCAAAATTATATGTCTGAATTGAAGTGTGGCAAAGTGCTACCAGGTAGGCAGACAGAATTTTACCAGAGATTTGTGTAATTTTTAATTAGACTTCATTAAAGTGGCTGTCTTTTTTCAAGTTTGATGCTTAAAGTTTAGGAAGTATATAGGGAGCTGGTGTTTAAAGATAACTGTTACTTGCTTAGTGAATTCTGATGGGCTCAGTGACTAGTGTTGGTATTTCACATTTTATCTTTCAATGGCAGGAACTGAAAAATTTGATCCCTAAGTCAGCAGTAGGAACGTTATCTGCCAATTCAAGCAATGTAATTCATCTGATCATTGACGCGTACAATGTGAGTACATTTTAAGATCAATTTTGGACAATCCCTGGCCGAGGGGACTTTGCTCAAAGAAAAGAAAACTTCTTTATACACAATTTGGCAAGCTAAGAAGGCAACAACAAAAACAAATTGTGTATCTGAAGGAAAAAACTTTCTATTATCTTAAAAAACCATGGCATAAGCAAAGCAGAAGTATGATCAAGGCCTTTGGGGAAATTTCTGAGTATGTGTTTGTCAGTAAGCAGTGGATGTCCTTGTTGGGGAGCGTGTATAAAATGCCACTTACATTTATGTTTGTAAGAGTCCCCAGTGTTCTGTCTCCCCAAAGCATCCTTTACAGACGGATACACTTTGCCATCATATTTTTTGCTGGAGAAGCTTTTTTGGCATTTCCTTTCTTACCACATTGTCAGAGGATTTGATTTTCATATCTGTCTCCTAAAATCCATAAATTGTAAATATATGTGGTCTGCCTGTCTTAAGATTTGTAAGATTGTTTTATCTTCACCCTTGGAAGGGAGTTGTAATTAAGGAGAAATAAAGCTTCCTTTCTCAAGCTTAATTTAGAGCAACTTTATGATTACCCATAACATTGGTTAATAGTCATTGTAGAAATCTGAAGGCGTTTGTAGTTTCAGGGTAACTGTCATGCACCGCGCACACCACTTTCATGTCCCCCTCCGCAACCCTTTGGCAGGATGAACTTCTAATAAATACATGTATGTTTTACTTCGTGCCCTGGGGATGCCGTGGTGTTGCCAAGAGACCTGACTCAGAGAGAGGAATTTTGCAGTGGTTTTTGAGAAGCCAGTTGTTTGATGTCTTCCCCATACCTGTCCTCTGTCTTACAGGATATCTTCTAGCTGCCGTCCTGCTAGGCTGTGGGCAGGAAATAGCTTGCCCTTGCAGCCCCTCCCAGGTAGTGAGCCCAGGTTGTATAATAGGTGGTTTACTTCGGTTCCTAGTCAGCTGGAAGGGGTAAGGTCAGAGGGGAGCCATTGCCTGTGGGCAGAGAAAGCCTTTGTTCTCCATTCTTAGGACTCCTAGTTACTGTCAGGCCTCTATGCTGCAGGGTCATGGGATAATAACTGAATAAGTCAAACAAATGCGTTCAGTTGTGTCCATTATTTTAAGATTGGACCCTTGTTAATAGGCGCCTGTTTCTCTTGGTTTGTGTTTTCTAGGCATTCATTTCGATTTGGCTTCACAGTATTTTATTGAAATGACTTGTTAGTTCTAAACAGGTTATTTTACCATTGCTTGTATGCACTCGGGTACCGTTTTATTTGATTCATCTGTTCATAACTTTCTTTTAGTCCCTTTCTTCAGAGGTAATTTTGGAAAATACCAAATTGCCAGAAGGAGTAACCATAAATTACAAGTCCTACTGCAAGAATGGGGTAAACGGAACAGGGGAAAATGGAAGGAAATGTTCCAATATTTCCATTGGTGATGAGGTATGTTGTATAAGCCTTCTCTGTAGAAGAGCGATTGCTTACACAAGAAAATTTACTTTCTAATGTGAGAGACGTTGAGTAGCTTTTTGAAAGACTTCTATTCATTGCTAAATTAACTTAATCTGGGTTTTTTGCCCTTCAAGGTTCAATTTGAAATTAGCATAACTACAAATAAATGTCCGAATAAGAACTCAGAAACCATTAAAATCAAGCCTCAGAGCTTCTCCGAGGAGGTGGAGGTCATTCTTCAGTTCATCTGCGAGTGTGAGTGCCAGAGCGAGGGCATCGCCGAGAGCCCCGAGTGCCACGGCGGCAACGGGACGTTCGAGTGCGGCGCGTGCAGGTGCGTGGTGAGTGGTGCTGCCGAGGTGGCCCGCGTGGGACCCTCCCTGCCTGTGGTCGGATGACCTCCTCCTCACCGAGCAGTGAAAGCGCTCCTCGCCAGGCAGGGCGGCGCAGCAGATGTTAATGGGGCAGGTGGGGTTCCCCCTCACGGCACCATTCTCTTTCCTAGGCAAAATAAACCTACATAAAGTATGTGAAAATAGTTTAGGAAAGTGTTTTGGGAAAATAGCTTAGAAAATTGTATCAAACAGATAATAGTGATTTTTTTTTCTGAAAAGTAGAATTAGGAAGCAACAAATCATATTTACCCTGTACTCCATTAATTCTGCATTGTTGGAATAGTTTTTTTAAAAAATAGAATATGCTGTAAAATTAAAAGGGAGAAAGTGGGTTTTTCAGAATGTAGACTCTAACCTAAACCAAGTTATTTTAAGTATTTCACACATGGCTACATTTTTTTTTTTCTTTTACAATACTGATAATTGAACTCAAGGCCTTTGCATTGAGCTACATTCCAGCATTTTTTAGTGTTTTATTTTATAATCTTTGGAAACAGGGTTTTGCGCAGTAGCTGAGTTGCCCAAGGTAGACTTGAACTTGTGATCCTCCTGCCTCAGCCTATCAGAGTGCTGGGATTACAGGCATGCGCCACCACACCTCCTGGTTATTTTTTAAAGTAAAAATTAAAACTAAATGTACTTTGAGTATGGCTTCCTCTTTACAGAAGTAGGCGGAGAAAGGAACATTTTGAGATAAATGTCAGCCCCTGATAACTGCTAACAAAGGTCATTAGCCATGAGAAGAATGCACGGCCACAGTTGACTACCGATTATTAATTGTCTGTTCTAAATGGCGTGTTGTATATACCCTGTTTGAATCATGAAAATCCATTTTAAGTGAAATGTCATTTAACCAAAAAAATTATCCTGAATATTCTTTGCCTTTCTTCCCATTTTTTACCACAGATAGAATCAAAATACCCAATGACCATGAACTTTGGACATTCTGAAAATATATAGGGATTGCATCTGAAAATTCTGGACCTATAGATGTTTTTAAACAATATGTTAGTTATATTTGCATTTGATGTACTTAGTATATTTTCAGCTTCTCTGCACTTTTGGGGATGTGTTTTTTATTTATGTATTTATTTTTGTCTTTTTGAGACAGAGTCTTTTTGCTAGGCAGTTCAAGCTGGCCTCAAGGTCACTTTGTAGCCCAGGCTGGTCTCGAATTGGCAACAATCCACCTGCCTCAGCCTCTGGAGTGCTGGGATTACAGGCATGTGCTACCATGCCCAGCCTAGGGGGGCGTGTTTTTTAATGTTAACAGTTGGATCATTGCTTGAAAACTTAGTGGTAATTCACCTACAATAGAAAAATAATACTATATCATTTGAAAATATATCTTCACATTCCCTTTAAGTTTATTGAGAAGCCAGGCATGGTAGTGCACACCTATCATCCCAGTACTTGGGAAGCGGAGGCAGGAGGATTGTGAAGTTAAGGCCAGCCTGGGCTACACAGTAAGTTTATGGTCAGTGTGGACTGTGTAGTAAGTTCAAAATAAAAAAAAGGAGTAAATTCTGTTTTTGTAGATTTCTTTTTTGTCTTTTTTTGAGATAGGGTCTCGCTATGCACTTCAGGCTGGCCTCGAGCTAGCTTTGTAGCCCAGGCTGGCCTCAAACTCGCAACAATCCTCCTGCCTCAGTCTCCCGAGTGCTGGGATTACAGACGTGTGCCACCACGCCCGGCTCTAGATGTTTTTTTCACTTGTTCATTACTGGGTTAGAGTTTTGCATTTTGATCACATTGGTGACTTTTTAAAGACATGTTTTCCGCAGGCCACTGCACAGGCTGGCTGCCGGGCCGGGTGTGTCTGCAGGCTGTGGTGTGTGGCACGCACAGTCCTACCCGGCGGCCAGGTGGCTGAGGAGATCGTGCGTGGCTCTGTTTCCTCTCCCACGCTGCACTGTTGTCAGTGAATGGCTTCTCCTCAGGTGCAACGAAGGCCGTGTTGGCCGGCACTGCGAGTGCAGCACGGATGAGGTGAACAGCGAGGACATGGACGCCTACTGCAGGAAGGAGAACAGCTCCGAGATCTGCAGCAACAACGGCGAGTGTGTCTGCGGCCAGTGCGTCTGTAGGAAGAGGGACAACGCCAACGAGATCTACTCCGGCAAATTCTGCGAGTGCGACAACTTCAACTGCGATCGGTCCAATGGCTTAATTTGTGGAGGTGAGAAAAGTCTCTGTGATGGTTATAAAGCGTGGTCCTGAAGAGCTTCCCCAGGGAGTAAGTGGGAGAAGGGCCACTGCCTGGAGGGACGCTTTCCTCCAGGTTGATGCGTATTTGGACTTGAGGTCACTGCTGTGATTTTATGTTTGGACGTTATTTCGAGGACTCGTATTTTTCACGGCAGGCAATGGCGTGTGCAGGTGTCGCGTGTGTGAGTGCTACCCCAACTACACCGGCAGCGCGTGCGACTGTTCTCTGGACACCGCGCCCTGTGTGGCCTCAAATGGGCAGATCTGCAACGGCCGGGGCGTGTGCGAGTGCGGCGTGTGCAAGTGCACGGACCCCAAGTTCCAAGGGCAGACCTGCGAGACGTGCCAGACCTGCCTCGGCGTCTGCGCCGAGCACAAGTGCGTACTTCCCCATTGCTTGGGTGTATTTCCCTCTGCTGACCTGTGCGGGTACCATTATCAGGACGAGCAGCAGGTTATTACACTGTAAATAAAATAATGGGAACCAGGAGAAGGAACCGTTTATTCCACTGCAAGTAGTATAGTGAACGCAAAGAAGCCCACTCTTTATTTGTGAGCAAAGCTCTTTCTCAGTAGTAACGTGTATTGCGTGATACTAGAGCACATCACGTGAGAGCTGCACTAATACGGTGATTCAGTTTTCTGTATAATTGAATCCATGGGGTTACTTTTGTTAAACTGGAATTGCTGCCTCCTTTTGTCCTTTGGGCACTGGGGTTGGAACCAAGGACCCTGTATATTCTGCACAAGCCCTCTGCTACTAAGCCGCACTCCCACCCCCATTGCTGTCTTTTTTCTTTCTTGTCCTTTTTGGGACAAGGTCTCACTATGCAATTCAGGCTGCCTTGTTTTTGTTTTTTTGTCTTTTTGAGACAGGGTCTTGCTATGCAGTTCAAGCTGGCCTTGAGCTCAGTTGGTAGCCCAGGCTGGCCTCAAACTTTCAACAATCCTCCTGCCTCAGCCTCCCAAGTGCTGGGATTATAGGCTTACAGGCGTGCACCATCACACCCAGCCTTGGCCTTGAACTCACTATGTAGTCCAGGCTGGCCTCAAACTCATAGCAGTCCTCCTGCCTCAGCCTCCCGAGTGCTGGGATGTTCCTGCATTTATATTAAGAGCTAACACACTAGTGAAAATGGGGAAATAATCAATACTTGATTTCTGTCCCCAGTTTTCCCATTCAGACTCATATATATAGGTACTTTTTGACTCCATAGAAAAAGAAATAGCTAATATTCAGAACCACCAGTAACAGGAAGAAGTTTTTTGTGTTTTGACAACAAAATGTTTCACATCATCGTAGGTTGTTCAACGCAGTCTGCAGATGACTTTGGCATGGTTGCTACCCACGTGGCAGGGTGGCACCGGGCTGGAGTCATTAGAAAAGACTGGGAGCCAGGTCTGTTTCAGAGTTCAGAGCAGTTTCCCGTCTCAGACACCAGAAGCCACCTTCGGCACCGGAAGTTTGGAGCACTCCGGTTTGCTTGAGTGTCTCCCGGCCCACGGGGCCAGCCTGTGGCAGTGAGGCTGCGTCACACTGCAGGGAGCCCTGCTGGCACACCTCTTTGGTGGCCTGTGGCTTCCTGGGTGCTTCTCCTGTGCTGTGGGGACCTTCTTGCCTCTTCCCGTTGGCTGGGCTGGGCAAGCCAGGGTGCAGCTGGTATGAACAGCGGGGCCCACAGCTGCCTAAAAATAGCATCCGTATGTAGTGTCCATCCAGAAGTGCAGTATTCCTCTTTCACTGATCATTCTTCCCTTGGTCATGAGCTTAGCACACAAAATTATCTTTAAACTAAATTTACCTTAAGTAATACTTTTTTGTCTTTTAAAAACATTTTCATGGGGCTGGGGATTTAGCTCAGCGGCAAAAGCGCCTGCCTGGCAAGCGCAGGGTCGTGAGTTCGGTTCCCGGTACCAGAGAAAAACCGAAAAACAAACAAACAAACAAAAAAACATTTTCATGGGTCAGGGATATAGCTCAGTGGCGCAGTGCCTATCTGGCAGGTGTGAGGTCCTGAGTTCGATTTCTGCTATTAAAAAAAAAACCAAAACATTTTCATTAGTACATATTTACCATACAGAACAATCACGTTCATCACAAGGAGCTTGTACCTGTACATAATGTGTCTAAATTCTTTTTTTCCCATTCCCCTCCCTTCAACCCTCCTTCCCTTCCCCATTTACAAAAAGCTTTGTTTCCATTTTTTCCCTTCCATTAAATAATACTTTTTAAATGTAACACTTTGTGTTTTAACAGAGAATGTGTTCAGTGCAGAGCCTTCAATAAAGGAGAGAAGAAAGATAGGTGTGCACAGGAGTGTTCCCATTTCAACCTCACCAAGGTGGAAAGTCGGGACAAGCTGCCGCAGCCGGTGCAGGTGGACCCGCTGTCGCACTGTAAGGAGAAGGACGTGGACGACTGCTGGTTCTACTTCACCTACTCGGTGAACGGGAACAACGAGGCCATTGTTCATGTCGTGGAGACTCCAGGTAGCAATCGATAGCACCCGCAGTTCCTCTGGGCCTTTGTGTCTGCGCTCAGGCCTGCAGTCAGGGCCCTGATACCAGAAACGCACCTCAGCTCTGTTATCATGTTAGGGGCAAGCTGGGAAATTTTTCTTCTCTCACAGATTAAAATAACTTTTTTTTTCTATTTTAAGTATTTTTTATTTTAAAAGTTTTTTTAATTTTAAAGAGAATAAAAAAAGACAAAATTTCAAAACAAGATTAAAGTTTAAAAGATACATGTCTATATATTTAAAGTTGTTTTGTTCTTTTCTTTTCTTTTCTTTTTTTTTTTTTTGAGGCAGAGCTCATTTTGTGGCCCAGGCTGGCCTCAAACTCCTGATTGTCCCCCCGCCTCAGCCTTCCAATGGCTGGGACTGTTGGGATTGCAAGCTGTTAAAAGGTATTAAAAGTGTTGGAAGTTTTTCAACTCCTCAGAAGATGGAACATTTTTTATCTTGGTTTTTCTGATAGCTTTTTGGTAGATCCTTTGAAGTTTTTCATATTAGCGTGTAGGTTCTCCAACATGATGGCACACATAGTTATCATATGTTTAACTTCCTAAGAAACTGTTTTCTAAAGTTGGCACACTGTTTTACGTTGTTTGGTTTGGTACCAGGCATTGAGCTCAGGACCTTGGGCTTGCCAGGCAGGCACTGTGCTGCTGAGCTATCTCCCTGCCCTGTTTTACACTGTCAGACTGGTATTTTACAGTTATCTCCCGGTATATGCCTCGCCTTTTCGTCTTCTTAGCTTTTTATTTATGTTTGTGGCACCAGGAATCAGACCCAGGGCCCATTCTAGTGTTCTGAAGCGTGGCTGCCGTGGTTTTTGCCTGGTAGTTCCATAGTTTCAGGTCTCACATTTAAACCTTCCATCCATTTTGATTGATTCTTGTGAGTAGTGAGATACAGGGATCGAATTTCATTCTTCCGCACGCAGATGCCCAGCTTTCTCAGCAGCATTTATTGACGAGAACCTCAGAGTGAGTTGGTAGCACCTTGGTCGAGATCAGCTGGCTGTCCGTGCGTACTTTTCCCTGACGTTCTTTAGTCTGATCCCTCACTGGTCACTTCGTGTTTTTATGCCAGTATTTCTGTTTCTCTGCTTGCATGTCAGTTTTAGGATTAGCTTGCTGATTTCTACAGAAGTCCTTTCAAGATTTTAATGGGTATTACATTAGGCTTATAAATCATATTGAGGAGAACTAACATATTGACAGTATTAGGTCTTCTAATTCATGAACATGGAATCTCTCCATTTATTCAGTCTTCAGTTTCTTTTGTCATTGTTTAGTAATTTTTAATGTGTAGAGTCTTACATGTATTGGATGAGAGTTACACATAAGTTTTTGATGATTTTTGATGCTATCATAAATGACATTTTAATATTTTTAGTGAGCTACTGCTCCACTCTTTGGGCTGAGGTTGGACACTGCACATTGCAGTCTTTGTGTGCTTAGTATTCACCTTCTTGCTCTGCAGACTGCCCCACTGGCCCTGACATCATTCCGATAGTTGCTGGTGTGGTTGCTGGAATTGTTCTTATTGGCCTTGCGTTACTGCTGATTTGGAAGCTTCTAATGATAATTCACGACAGAAGAGAATTTGCTAAATTTGAAAAGGAGAAAATGAATGCCAAATGGGACACGGTAAGTTGCAAAAAATCTAACAAGTGAAGTGATACAACACTTGTTGATTAACAGTAAGACCATTTACTTTTATTTGCATTTCCTTAATTAGCATTGTTAACAATTTTTATATGTTGGGCTTTTGTGTATATTCTTTTGACATTTATCTTTAAATATTGCATTCCACCAGCAGTTCATTATTTAAAGAAATTGTATTTAAGCCCGGCGTGGTGGCACATGCCTATAATCCCAGCACTTGGGAGGCTGAGACAGAAGGATCATTGTGAGTTTGAGACCAGCCTGGGCGACAAAATGAGCTCAAGGCCAGCCTGAACTGCATAGGGAGACTGTCTCCAAAAAGACCAAGAAAAAAAAAAATGTATTTAGTGAAAATCAGAAAACATCCTTAATATAACTCATTGAAACAAAATATGAGAATGTATGGTCTGGTTACAGTGGCCAGTATTTTTAGTTCTTTTAAGAGTTTTGATCCTAAAGATGCTCTTTTGACTTTTCTGTCTAATATAAAACAGAATCCTAAGTAACAATATCTCTGGAGCAAGCTAGTCATGTGAAAGCCCTCCCCCTTAAAACAAAAAGCCTTCAGTGGAAAGTCCCTAGATTCAAAAGGCCATGTATAATATGGTTCCATTTTTATGATATTCTGGAAAAGCTGCAGGTACAGAGGCAGAAATTATATCTGTGCTTGCTGGGTGCTGGAGCTGGGGAAAGAGTTGACCAGAACAGTGTTACAGGGGATGTCTTAGGCTGATTTTGATTGTAGGTATGTGTGTGCATTTGAAAACTTACTGAACACATTTTATATGTAGTGTAAAAAGATGTATCACACTCAGTGAAGATCTTAAACTTGCTTTAAATTTTTTTTTTAAAAAAGCTTAAGTAACAGAAAATTTAGGGTAGAATTTAAATGAATGCTTTCACATAAGGAATCAGGTAGGTAGCTGAGTGGTTGGCCCTCATGTATTTGTCTTTTGATACAAGAAAGCAGTGACAGTCTTCGATGATTTTAACTAAGTGAAATTCAGTCATCTGTAATTTACTATAGTTCGCTTGGGTTTTCAAAAACTTAGGAATTTTCTGGGTGTAGAAATAGTAAAGATTCCCTTTTATAGTGTGCAGACACTGTAAATGTCACTTTTATTTCTGATCAAATCATTAGAAATTGTTTCTTTTACTTCAGCAAGAAAATCCGATTTACAAGAGTCCTATTAATAATTTCAAGAATCCAAACTATGGACGTAAAGCTGGTCTCTAAGTTGCCGTTCGTATTTCTTTCACTTTCTGTCTTTGCATGTGGACTTTTGTTCTTGCACTGTGTGTCCTTTATCACTGTTGCTGTTTCTTAAAACTCTGGCTTTATTTATATGGCTATTTGATGGCTTGTCTTTCTGTGTGTTAACTTAGTGTTTAGAAGGACTTTCAGTTATATGGTCCAGAAGTAATAGCTGTGCTGCTGTGAAAAGAATGTGCTTTGCAATCAGAGCAGAGTAGGGTTGATGCCGGGTCTTCCAGTGAGTAAGTCGAGGGCACCAGGTTGCTGCTGTGTGTGGCTGGCTTTGGCAGATGAACTGCAGTCAGCTACAATGGCCACAACAGCCCTGTGCCTGAGAGGACAGTATCCTTATCCCTCCTGTGCCCTAGGTGGCGCTGCCCTTACATGTCTGTGGGTCATGATGTGTCAATTCAAGGTTGAACAGGAAAAACTGACTGTGAATACAAATGGCAAAAAGTATAAAAATACAAATGGCAGAATAGAAAAATAAATGTGGTATATATGCCTTCGTACAGTTAAAAGATTTTTAACTGTCGTTCTTGTTTGTAATTTGAAGTTCCACTGAAAGCCAGAAGACGGAGTGTCTGTGCATTTCCTGTTAATGCATATTGTCATTTTCAAGTCTAAGGTTGAAAGGTTCTTAAATAATGAAGTCTTGGTAAAGTCTCATACAGTTTTAAATAAAACCTAGTTGAAACTTTCACAGTTGTAGTAAGGCATACTTACCCTGTTTTCCAGTCTGAGTAGTTTATTTTGCTGGGCTTTACCTGGATGACATTTTATCACTAGTGGACAGAATGCTTACATAGTTTCAAATTGTTCATTGTTAAATGTTACCGGCTTTTTTTAGTGTAATCATGTGAGCCCCTAAACTCTGATTTTTTTTTTTTTTTTTTGGTTTTTCTCCGGTACCGGGAACCGAACTCACGACCTTGCGCTTGCCAGGCAGGCGCTTTTTACCGCTGAGCTAAATCCCCAGCCCCTAAAACTCTGATTTAAAAGGTTAATATCTTTTCCCAGTGGATTGACTGCAGTGAAATCTGAAGGATTCAGTTTTTCTCACTTCCTGCCTCACTATGTAGGTAATTCCCTGTCTGGTAGTAATTACTGCAGTTGTAATGTCCTACATTTACACAGTGCTCCTGTATCTCAGGCACAGTTCTCAACGTTTAGTCTATATTTCTTTCATGCTAATAGTGAGAAATAGAGACTATTTTGATTCATGTTTCACAAGTGGGAAAACAGGCCCAGAAGGGTTAGGTAACTTGACCGTATTCACAGAATTGGTTAGCGGGAGAACCGGGATCCAAATCAAGCAGCTGTACTCCATGGCCCATGTCCACGTGGGACTCCTGTCCTAGGCTGATTGTTACCCTTTCTGTTTCTAGAGATTTGCAGCTCTGTGTCAGTTTGTTGCAACTCAGGGTAGCACTGACTGCTGTGGCATACCTTGTAATGGTTGCTTTATGATTTAGAATTCCACACTGCAATTAGGGCTATCTGTTGTATTGGGAGTGTACTTATGAAATGATACCAACGGGGTTAGGGATGTAGGTCGGTGGGACAGCATTTGCTTCACGTGTGTGAGGCTCTGGGTTGCATCCCCAGCACTGGGGAACAAAGATACAGACTAAAAGCTGAAAATCCAGGAATGTTGAGTATTTCTAAAGGATTTAGGAAGTACCAGTAATACTAGGAATCATGACTTGCCAGATCTTTAAAGTGAAATTTATTAGCAGAAAATTACAGTCAGATTCATACACGGGATAGATCAGCACATATTTATATTAGCCCAGGACACGACACTTTCTTGTCTTCTTTCTTTTTTGTCCTTATTGTTGGTACCGGGAATTGAACTCAGGACCTTGTGCTTGCCAGGCAGCCGCTGTGCTGCTGAGCTGTATCCCTGACCCTTTCTCTTCTTTCTCACCTAAAACTTTACAAAAGTCACCTTTAACGGAAAACTGATGAGCCAGTGAAATTACTGGGATTTTTTTTCTTTGAATTTGTAGGTCAAAAACAGGCAAATATGGACAATTGCATATTGTTTTTTCTCGCAGGAGAGAAATTTCTACCTGTTTTACCAAGGTGAAAATTTCACCCTTGCTGTATGTTTAATCATAGTTTCAAGGAACCTAACAATAAATAATTACTGTTTATACCTGTGTTTATATAGTTGACTTAATTTTTGGCTAAAAGCTTCTTCAACCAAAATAAGCATATCATAGAATTCAAGAAACAAATGTAGTGGGGATTGAACCAGGCACCTCACACATGCTAGGCAAGCACTCTAGAAAACCCAGGTAAATTCCTGGCTGTAGATTATTCTGAGATGTTTCCTCAAGAAAAAATACAGTACAAGTTAATGGTGGAAATTAATGGTTATAAGACATTTTTCAGATATGGAGCCAGTTAATTTATATACGATTAGCACACACTATAATTATTCTGATAGATATAACTACCAGGTAGGCACATTTTTAAGAGAATCAGATTATTAATTTATAACTGTAAAATAGGTTGAAAACACTAGTCTGTCCTCCTCTGCTGTTAGGCATATTTAAATACGGATTCCGGGTCTCCCGGTTCTGTCTGGTATACCTGATATATCAGATTATAGAGAAGATTTTGCAGCTACAACTCTCCGCCTTCCCAGAGAGCGCAGGATGATCTCTCAGGAGTACACAGGGCCGCAGTGCAGGGTGGATTTCATTAGCGTTGTGTCTTTGTGGGGTGGAATTGCACTCTGAATGATGGAGACTAATCTGAGCTACTTCAGTTTACCTCCATTTAAACTGACGCCTACTACAGATGGTTTAATTTTACCTCTAACCTTGCATGTTAAACTTTGGTTTGGATGGACTTTGAAATAATAAATATGTTTGTGTGTACCGCAAAGCAAACTTGTTTCCAAAGGTAAGTTCTTCCCTATAAATTATACTTTGGACTCATCAATATTGGGCTTGATACTTTGTTTTCTTTTTTTTAAAGAAACTTAATTAAATGTAATTTACTATCCTAACATACTCGAAAGAACGGGTGTTCGCCTCATCTTCCGATGGGAGGGTAGAGTAACGGATATCTTGTTTGCACCCTGGCTTCCTAAGAAGCTAGTTGTTCAGATCTAGTTTCCTGAGTCCCATTTCCGAATGTCTGTATAATAATACTTAGTAGCTCTTGTTGGGATTAGAATCTAAAATTCTTCACAGTTTTATCACCCATATTTGTCTTTGGGGAATCCTGAGTTTTCTCCATGTTCAGAAACAGCTGGCTAAGTTGTATGTTGAGGGGTAGAGGTGAGGGCTTAGGTGGGCTGTGCTGCTCTCATTCCCGCCGACTGCTAGCTGAAATCCCACCTTCAGATGGTCTTCTTGTCCCCGGTGCTGACTGGGTCTGCCTTCCTTCTCTCCCTTCCCCACACCCTACAATATATGCCCCATACCTGTACTTAGAAACTTTGGATAGATTCCTGCACAAATGTGCCATTCTTTTTCTCTATACCTGACTTTATATATATTTCTATTTCTATTTCAGTAATTTATCTGTGGTGTCACTACAAAAATATTCTGATACTGTTCCTCCTGTATGATATACATAATTCTCTTTTGGTCTCTTACAGGGTAGCTTCCTTTTAAGCCTGTCACTCCCCCCCCCCACACACACACACTCTACCCCCTTTGAAGGCAGAAATACGGTTGTGTTATTTCTCTGCCTAAAATCTCACTGTCAATATGTTTTTGGATCTTGAAACATCTCTGGTGTGTATGGCTTGGGGTCACTTGCTGGGCCTGCAGTCCTCTGTATAGGAGTACTGCAGTACGACCTCCGCAGTATGGCAGTATGCTGCTGCAGAGTAATGAGAGTAAAGATACTTCTCGAAGACTGGTGATTAGTAAACCTTTTAAGCGTATTTGGCAGAATGACTTGGTGCAGACACAAGACCCTTAGTGACACTGGCAGCCCTACCCAGAATGTTCTAGTCAGCAACTTCTGTCAGGGAGCCGAGAGCACAGCTCCTCACAGCAAGGACCTGCCAAAGAGCCTCGTTTTGATTTTCCAGCACCTTGTGTGCGTCATCAGGTGAGATGAGGCAGGCAGAGCCTGTGCTTCCTTAAGGCGGGCATTGGAAGCGTGTTCACAGGAGAGAACTGACATGTCAGCCCTCCGGTGGAGGAAGGGCTCACGAGTGAGACGGTGGCGGCCGTAGGCACATCATTCGGCTCGTAGCGCAAGCTTTCATCCTGTATCCCTGTATAAGCTACTAATAATGCCCGCTAGAAAACTGTGCTACCTGGACAGATACAGTGGAATGACTTCCTCAAATGCCTGTAACTTTAATCTTGTTTTATAAAATAATGACACACGATTTTAATTGTGTAACTGATCATTTCTCTCTCTCTGTTTGTTTTAGGGTGAAAATCCTATTTATAAGAGTGCCGTGACAACTGTAGTGAATCCAAAGTATGAGGGAAAATGAGTCCTACCTGTGCAGATCTCACAACACTGAATGCAAAGTAGCAATGTTCATAGCCACAGCACGGTAGCTTTAGGGCACTATTGCCATGGTTTTATTCATGTGCAAGTTTTGAAAATGTATAATATGTATAATTTTAAAAATTTTTTTATTATTTTGAAAATAATGTTATAATCCATGCCAGGGACTGACAAAAGACTTGAGACAGGATCATTATCCTTATCAGCTAAGGTCACATTGTGCCTTTTTTGACCTTTTCTGCCTGGACTTTTGAAATCAAGCTCTTTCTGAATTCAGTGATACTTCGAGGGTGATTGGCAGGTCAGTAGTTAAGGCGCATGATGAGAGTTTCTGTTAATCATGTATTGAAACTGATTTTTAGCTTTACAGATCTGTCAGTTCAGTTACACAGAATCCCAAAGCAGAGGTCTGACCGGCTAGTGTCGGATTGTTTTCAGTCTATTATTTTGCTGTTCGACTATTAGACACGATGCATGACATATCCGAAAGATGTGCTGAGAATTACTGGTGTAAAGCCATGGGGGAATAGTGGATCTACAGAGGCCATGGGAAAAATTCACAGGCTTAGAGAGAAAAACAAATAGCTTTAAAACCTGTGTGCCATTTTAAGAGTTACTCCATCTCGGTAACTTTTATGCTTTTTCTTTATAAATTCAAGCCTTGGATAAAGTACTGGGAAATTTTCTGCTAAAGAGTCCTTGATTTAGCACTATTTACCTAAAGGCCGTAATTCACGTAGTGTTTGCTGATCGGGGACCTTTTGAGTTGGATTTATTTTATTTTATTGTTATTTTTTAATACCTGGTGCTTTTCATCACCTCCTCTAACCCCTTAATGTAGTCGCGGTTTGGGGGAGGCTTTTGTTATCAGTGCTTTCTCTTGGAAGTTGCAGCTGTACATTTGCCTTTTCCGTGACCGTGTAAAGCTTGCCGTGCAGCGGCAGTCACTTAGGCACCTCGCGCGTCCCGTCGGATCGAGCGCACCCCGCGTAGTCACGTCTCACTGTGGAGCTGCTCGTCTTGTTCCCTACTAGTCACATTCTTGTTTTAAGTGCCTTTTCATTTTAACAGCTCACTTTTTACAACGCTGTTTACCGAAGTTATTTATTAAATAAAAATGCCTAAAATACTTAAATTGAATGTTTGAACTCTGTGTTGATTTGTCCGTTTGTTTGCATGAGCTTTTCATGAATTAAAAAAAGTTGTGAAAAATATTTCTGGTTGATTCATATTCCATTTACGAGGCTTCAACAGTTCTGTTTTATTTTTTGGAGGGAAGGATTGGTGAAACAAGAATTTAGATCCTTGTATGTTGGGAGATAAGTTTTATCCCTACATTAAGCAGAACTAATTCTTTAAGAACATTACCTTACACTTGCTACTAGAAGCTGGAATTATATAATTTTATTTAAGGTAGAGGTAGGATTATCATTCTCTGAAGAAAAACTGGAGAAAGTTTTGTTTTCATTTGGCTTTAGTTTATTTTTGTGCAGAAGTATACTCCCATAAAGAAGTGGTACCTCCGTTCACGAACTTCCTTTGTTGCACGATTTTAGGAAAGGTGGCTGTCCGTGTTTGTGTCTGTGTGGGGAAGATGACAGCAGTTGCATTTGTCACCTGGTGTGTAGAGTTTGCGAACAAAAACAAAATTATGCCAAATGCTTTTGTCTGTGAACCAGATTGTTCACAAACAAAAGCGTTCGTGAACCGAGGCAACACTGTGCTCATGTAAAGCTTATTAAAAGAAGTGTGTACTCCCTCCTTGCACGTGCAGCATATCTCAGAGATTTGTGGGTCAGGACTCCGTGAAAGGATTCCACCTTATTACCCTTTCGTGTTCAGTACCCCCTCCCTCACATCATTATTATTATTTTTTTTTTTTGGTACTGGTAATCAAAGCCATGCCCTCACCCTTGCCAGGCAGGTGCTGTGCTGCGGAGCTGTATCCCCAGCCCTCACATCATGGTTAATTGGCAGTCATTTATTCCACTTAAATGCGTTTCCCAGTTTTGATTAAAGCATCTTTTAGGTGAGACTTACATCTTTTTACTGGTTTTAAGATCCATGGGGAAAATGATCTTGCTCTTTTGCTACTCATATCCCTGTATTTAATCATGTGTCTTGTTTAACCCCGATCTCCACATTCCTGCTGAGTTAAACTCACTTTCCCATGGTTTAAGCATACTCAGTTGCGATAAGTATATCTACTTCAGAACTCTGCTCCTTATAAGGAGATTTCTTATAACTCTTACAAGAATGAGATCTGTTTTCTATATGTACGTATTTTTTTCATGTGTGTCCTTGAGGTTGAAATATGGTGAAGCTTGTATTGTATATTACGATTTATGACACAAGCTGGTTTTCCGACTGTAGAAATCTCATGTTGGAAGCTGGAGGAATTGTATTGACACTTGTGCTGTCTGTAAGAACACTGACATTTCAATAATTTTAGGCTTGAAATATTGGCAGTTTAAAAATACAGCCGAAGGGGTTGGTAATTATATATTTTATATACACACACATATAAAGTGAAGCCACATAGAAACTTTTCACTAAAATATTTTGTTTCTCAGCAACAGCAGCATATTTTGTTCTCCAGTGAAATACTTTCAAAAAGGTAAGAGTCTTGAAAATAAAATTCATAGTTCAAAATTTTCCATTCAAACTGTTTTAAAAGGGCCAGAGATATAGCTCAGCAGCACAAACACCTGCCTGGCAAGTGTAAGGTCCTGAGTTTGATCTCCGGTATGAAAAA